CTTGATGGCTCTTATTTGTTGAAATTGGCATGTGATAATTGGAGATTTTAAATTGATATTTTGCTAAAGAATCACTTATTTATTATTTCTTATTCCATTGTTATTGTTGTATTTCATGCCTATTTATAATTACTGCACTTTATTTATTGACCACTAGTAAGTGTCGATGTCGATCCCCCGTTACTACTTCTTCGAGGTTAGACTAGATACTTATTGGGTACAGGTAAATTTACGTAATCATGCTACACTGTTGCACAAACATTGCAGGTACTGAGGAAGGTACATCTGGTATCTGTTCGGGCGCGCATCCACATTATCCGGAGACCTAGTGGTGAGCTGCTTCCCATGCTCCATTCTGCAACACAAGTCTCCTCCTTGTTATATTTACTATTTGTGTATATTTTATTCAGACAGTAGTTATAGGGGTTTTGTATATTTTACTTGCTCGTGCACTTGTAACACCATATTTTGGAAATTGCTAGTAGATGTTTATGGTATTGCCTAATATTGTTACCATTTTATTTTTTTAATGTCTTATTTACGTGTTATATCGCTATGATCTTTTACACTTAATTTCGTTACTAATTAAAAATTCATGATTTCAAAAGTAATAAAATGAGTAATTAATTTGATAGTTCACCGTTGGCTTGCCTAACAGTGACGTTGGGCCCCATCACGGACTATTATAGGTATGGGGTCGTGAGAGCTTGGTATCAAAGCACTAGGTTCACATAGGTCACACGAGTCATGAGCAGGCCTAGTAGAGCCTTGCGTATCGGTATAGAGACATATGTACTTATCTTCGAGAGGTTATAGGGTTTTAGGAAACTTCCTTTTCTTCATCTTCCATCGTGCAATTGATGTTGTGCTCTTTCTCTTATTCTCTCACATATGGTGAGAACGTGCACTACGGCTATACCCGGGGGTAGAAGAGTTGCTCCCACTATTATTAGAGGCCGGGACAGAGGCCGAGGAAGGGCCACAACTCCTGGTAGAGGGCGAGGGCATCCTAGAATTGCTCATATTGTATGACCAATGGATCCAGTGGATGATTCTATTATTGAGGAGCAAGATGATGCGCTGTAGATGAGCCAGCCTCAGCGAATTTCATGACTGCATCGGGATTTTAGGAGGTCATGGGCCGTATGCTGCGGTTCATGGATTCTATGACTTAGGCCGAGCTATTTCTGGCAGACCCGGCCATATCTCAGATGGGACGGGAAGCACAGACCCCTACCGTTTAGGCCCCAGGACACGCTGTTGCCGTTTATCAGATCCCGGGTGCAATACCTATGGACGGGGTCCATCCAGTTGCAGCGATTATACCAGATCCCAGACCAGTCACGATCGTTGAGCAGTAGAAGCGGCTGGACAGATAGACTAAGCTACATCCTCCTGTCTTTGGCGGTGAGTGGCATGAGGACCCACAAGACTTCATTGACCGTTGCAGGGACATGCTGTATAATATGGGTATATTGGATTCCAACGGGGTGTACTTCACCACATTCCAGTTGGAGGGCAAGGCCCGTAGAAGGTGGCAATCTTATCTATGTAGCAGGCCAGCAGGTTCACCTCCCTTGACTTGGCACCAGTTCACACATCTCTTTTTAGAGAGGTATATTCCACACTCTTAGAGGAAAGAGTTATGGGGTCAGTTTGAGCGGCTCTAGTAGGGTGAGATGTCAGTGACCGATTATGAGGCGAGATTTTCTAAGTTGTCTCGCCATGCACTTATGATACTCCCCGCATATGCAGAGAGAGTGCAGAAGTTTATTGCGGGCTTGCATTATGGTATTTAGGTAACTATGGCCCGAGAGGTTGAGATGGGGACTTCTTACGAGCAGGCTATGGAGATAGCTCGGAGGATCGAGGGTATCCGCAGCCAGTGCCGATTGTATACGATAGGGGAGAAGCAGCCTCGGCATTCTGGCAGATTTAGTAGCGCCCCGTCTGGGGTAGAGGTCAGTTCATGAGAGGCTAGTCTAGCAGGCCCACATATTCAGCACCACCGCTTGCTCGAGGTGCTCCGGTGTGACCCTACTTCAGTGCAATCGAGAGAATGCCTACCGTCTACTGACTATTCAGAGTTCCTTCAGTGGATATTCTGGTCACCAGGGTCAGACTCAGGGGCAACAGTCTTCCGTACCAAGGGGTTGCTACGAGTGCGGGGAGCTTGGTCATATGGGGAGGTTTTGCCCCAGGCTTCGGGGCAAGGAAGTACAGTAGGGCCATCGGCCCATGATTGCCGCACCAAATGATGCACCGCCCATCCAACTGGACAGAGGCTGAGGGCAGATGGGTAAAGTTTGCCCTAGAGGTGGAGGTCAACCACGTGGCGCTCCGGCTAGGTTCTATACCTTTTCAGCCAGACCAGATACAGTAGCCTCAGACGTTGTGATCATAAATATTATTTTTGTCTGCAGTAGGGATGCTTCGATACTATTAGATCCAGGGTCTACATATTCATATATGTCTTCTCTATTTTCTCATTATCTAGATGTCTCTCGTGAGTCCTTGGGTGGTTCTATATATGTGTTCCACGATAGTGGGTGATTCTATTATTGTGGATCGGGTATACCGATTCTGTGTAGTGACTTGCTGTGGTTATGAGACCAGATCAGATCTTTTGTTGCTTGATATGACTAACTTTGAGGTCAAATTGGGCTCCATTGCATTGCCCAAATCAATCTTCCAAACTTGTCCAGATCTCTCTTGCGGTATTGGAGTAAATGACACTTTCTGCTATCTCCTTTGAGAGGGAGTTCAAAGTTCAAGAAATCACCATATCGTTACAACGACTCCAAGACTTAAACTTTGAAGAATGAGGTTCTTCCTTTGTGATACTTCCATCAACAAAGCCAACTTTGTTCTTAACTGATAGAGCAATGGGCATTGCCCGACGCCATCCAACATAACTTCTGCCATCGAAAATGACACAGACTAGCACAACACCAGGTAAATCAGAAAGGTGCTAGAAAGAAAAAGGTGTGAGTTATCAATGACTGCTGTAGTATCAGCTGAAGTCACTTCAGATGTGGAACCCATGGTTGTTAATCGAAAAAGAGCATGATGATGAGGGAATGAAGACTGTAAGGATCTTTCAAAAGGTCTGCTTTGATACCATGAAAGAATGCAGTAAATTTGAAAGCTATTTCAGAGGAAAATTCTTTTTCTCTGTATTTCATTGATCATTGTACACTGGTATATATACAAATAGAATGTACTACCTAGGTATCCTGTGTGTATTTCCTATTGGCTTCTTCCCTAACTAACTGTACAATTGCAGCCGGAGAAAAATACTAAATAAAGGACTATACACCTATACAAAAAATAGAACTATCTAGAAGGAAAATTAGGCAACATTATTCCCAAATCCTGTCCGTTCAATCATATGTTTATCAACGTCCACCTGTGGTTCCATATGTCTTTCACTTGAATCAAACATATTTGGCCTAGCTTTAGCTTTTGTATGAATTTGCTCTGTCACACGTTTGGCCTAGGTTTATTAACCTTTGGATGATTTCAAGAAATATGCCCATTATCATTTCCAACAGTATTATTATGCAAAATAACATGTTCACATAACATAATTACGTGGATTGTCGTTATTATTATGCAAAAATCGTTGCCGTATGAAATATGATTTTCTTTTCATATTCAGAAGTATAGGGAGTCTAGCTATGGAAAATATAATTTCTTTCATGATTGTAGAGCCATGTAAATATCATTAATAGCTTAATAATATGAGGAAAAAAGAAGCTTAATAATATATTAAATATCAATGAAGAATAAAAAATCATCAAGGTTCCAATCGAAAAAATATCTAAATTTCCAAGTTATTCCCGGTAAATATCGTAAAAATTGGAGGGAAAAGGTCTAAATTACAAAACTTTCTTTCCCTTCTCTTTCTTCCTCAATCCTCTTCGGTGACACTAGAAGTAACAAACACTGTAGAGTAGTACTTCTAGTTTTAAACACCCACAAATTTGAAAATTTTCAAACTTTACCAATTCCCATTTCGCTTCCCAGAAAACCCTAGGGATCAGAGGCAAAATTGACTGAACTTCAACTTTTAATCCAATGGCAGTGGATACCAATTTGGCTTCGTTATTTGAGAAATTGAAGTTGGAAGATCCGTATGTTTCGCCCAGACCTTGGGAATCAATTACTTCAGAAAGCGGCGGCATTTCTTCTTCCAATTCCGCTAACACTAATCGCTCTTCCCATGTTCAATACTCCACTTCGGCTGTTTCTGTAAGGACCCTTTTCATCTATGACATTTGCATATCGGCAGTGTACTTGATTAATTGCGTGATGTATAGCTGGTGGAGTGTTGTTTTATTACTTATGTATTGCTATAGCATTTTTTTTTGGGGACACGTTCTTTGAGATTTTTTACATTTTTCCTCATTTTCGATTGAATTATGTGCTTCTTTCGCTGTTTTCGTAAGGAGCATTTTGATTTCGTATAGCATTTTGATTTTTGCTTTTTTTTTTTTTCCTGTTAATTCGATGAGAAATCAAAGCGGCAATGTATGATTAATTGCCTAGTGTACACCAGATGAGGATTGTTTCGTGCTTGTGTCTTAGTGAAGACTGTTACACTATTAGGAAGTTGGCACTGCTTGGCATAGGGCTCAATGAAGCTGGAAATAAGACATGAGACTATGAGACTAGGGTTCAATCCTAGTAGAAGCAACACAAGCTAGGCGATTTATTCCCATCTGTCTAAGAATTTTGACAGAGTTATTTTGTACATTTGCTAATGTATGGAAACAGGTACTGTGGATTAATTGAGGCGTACGAGAGATGACCGGACGCTACCATTATAAAGTGTAACTCATAGAAAGTTGCATTTTATGAACTAATTTATGGACAGTTGCAATAAAACCACTAATACGTTAGTTCTTCTGTACCTTAACTTTTCAAGCAAATCTAGAGTGACATGTCACTGCTACATGACTCACTTAAATAGAAAAAGTAGGAACAAATTTCCCATGTATGTTTTGGTGCCAAATAACAGCTCAGTTTTGCCTCAATCCCAGGCTAGTTGGTCTCAGCATATAAGTCCACACTATTATTTTTGAGTTCTCGAGGTTCTCTAGAATTCTTACTGACATATAAATCTAAAAAGTTAAAAGCGCTCCCATGAACACTAGGTGTAATGTATAGTAACATAATGACTAAGCCTTAATCTCAACTAGTAAGTGTCGCCTATAGGAGTCTTTGGCTTCTTCCCCTCAATTTGCATGGATCTCGAAGGAAAATGAATCTTTGAAATAACATCATTCCATGTGATTTTTTTGGTTTTCTCAAATACTAATCATTGCATTTGGAGGCTTACGCAGGACATGATCGAAACATCTCAAGTGACCTTCATTCATTTATTCTATGTGTGCGCTGCTTGCACATTCTATCAGATGTTATCATCTGATTTTGTCGAATCTTATTACACATCCATATTAACATCCGCATTTCTGGCACTTTTCTTGTGGATGTGATGGACTTTAAAGGCTCAAAAGTTCTTTCATATGAATTGGTGGTCTCATCACTGTTCTATGGGACTTGATAACTGTTAAATGGGGATTCACATTTCACTTACAAAATTATTATTTGCTATGTCTATTGTTATTTCAATTAATTTGAAGCCAAAGTTAAGGGGAGATTGGGGAACCTTTTGTGATATGCTAAATGGAAATGCGAAATTTGTTTCCTCCTGTAGTTTGGATTTTCCTAAGTTCTAAAGTTGCAATGGCTGTAATTGATAAATGTTTTAATTGCAACAATTTACCGTTTAATGGTTAAGTGCGGCTTTTCAATATTTTTCGGGTTTTTACTGCAATTCACCTTTTCTTGTTGTTCATTAAACGAGGAAGTGGGAATGGAAATTACCAGTTTGAGTGCATAATATACAACCTATGATACTGCTCTATGCTTGATTCTTGCTGGGACATGTTTTGTTGGCCATGTTCTTTGAGGTTCTATTGTTTTCTTAGATCCTCAAGGCTGAACCTTTTCTTTTTCTTGTGACAAGAAAGAAAGTTGCATTATCTTTATGACTTCATCTCTTGTGATATTACCATTTTATGATGAATGAACTAAGAGTTTTTTCTTCCTTCTAAATTCTGGAAAATGAAAAGACACTTTACCTATTATTCGAACATTCATCCTTTCAGGAGCCTAGCTTGGTGAGACTGACATTGGATGCTCTGCAAGGTGTAGAATCAGCTCTGATATCTATTCAAAAGCTTTTTGCTTTATTTTGTTTTGATTCAGCTGATAGATCCTTTCATCATATCCCAAGTTTGTTGACACGAACTTCAAGCACCCTTGCTTTGGGAAATCTACTCAAATCTATTGGGCGTTTTGGTTGCATCATTTTCCTCCTTCACAAATTTGTCGATCATTTTACATGTTTAACTCTAGATGGGATTTCAGATGAGGATGAAGTTCAAAAGTATGATGCTAATGATGGTGTGGGATGCCGAATGAGCAATCATACACTTGTTAATCAGGCTTTTGCAGTTTCTGTGGCGAAAATCTTAGATGGGTATACCTCCGCCCTAAATACACTATATGCTTCTGTCAATTTTAGGCGTTGCTTGAAGTCCAAGGGTGGAGGCTGTTTTACTAGTGTTGGGCATGGCGAAATTACATTGCTAGAGGCTTATCTGCACTCTGCAGGACTAAGAACTCAGCTGGATGTGCTTGGTAATATCTGCAATATGAGTGATCTAGCTCTTAGATATTCTGAATTATCTCTTGAAGAAATAAGTGCCAAAGCGTTTTTAGAGTTTAATAATTTCCCCAGAAGCGGTGCTCTGCTCACTTTCTTGTACACACAACTAAAGGTTAGCATCATATAGAAGCAGTTCATTTAGTGGCTGTTCTACACTTTGACATTCTTAAAATTGGATTCCTGATATTCTTTTGCTCATTCAACTGTATGTGCTTGATCTGGTACTTTGCCGATTCATGAAGAATTACGTTGTGCAGGTTTAGCAAGTCACACATGGTATTTGATTATCATCTTGGTGTAAATGCTTCATGGATTATGTGCTACATATTTCTTTCCTTTCTATATCCGAGGAGGAAAGCAGCCAGTTATTAGTAGATATGTGAGAAAAGAGCGATGTAATAATGTGTGCAGAAGGACACATATCCATATACTTCACTGAGGCTAGAGTAAACCTGTTTCCTAATTTGTGCCTAAATTTACGTTACCACCTGAAAATGCTACTGAAATATCCAAAATGGTTAATCTGATTCTGCTAAGAGATTTTTGTAAGTAGGAAAGAAATAGCCTGCATTCTTAAGGGAAAATATGTAACTTAAGGTATTTAACTGCGATGTCGATATTGTCCGAATGGTGCACTCACTATTTTGGCTGTTACAATAATGTGTGGTGCTAAGTATTATTCCATTCACCATTGTGGAAAAAGTTACATTTTGGGTGAAACAAGGTGTCAGATTTTATTGATCTGAACTTTTTGTATAAGATATTAAATAAGGTGTCTCTTTTGCTTATTATTGGTATCGTTCATTGAATTTTTTTGGCTAGATGGCTGATCCAGCCCATTGTGCTCTCCTGAAGTTCCTGTTTCTACGTTCATGGGAACCGTACTGTGGATTTATTAGAGCATGGATTTTTGAAGGTAGAATTGCTGATCCTTTTAAAGAGTTCATCGTGGAAATTGTGAAAGAGCAACCTGATCATGAGCCGGGTAACACTGGAATCTCTAATGACTTCCCATTAGCAAGTGTTAGGGTAATGCTGTCTGTCATTGCCTAGAATTTGGAGTTTTAATCTTTTTCCAATGCTGATATGCTTATTGTGTCAACTTTGGAGTCTGTTTTTATCATCTGCTATTCAATATCTCAGGTGCGAGAGGGAGTTTTACCTTTGTTTCTGGAGGATTGTTTGCTTCCCCTTTTCCGAGCAGGTCAACAGCTTCAAATAATAACAAAGTTACTTGAGTTCTGTGATTCTTTTGGACCATTTAACGGTATTCATGAAGAACTCCTTCCTGGCATCATCAATGGGTTTGCAAGCGAATTCCCAAGCTTCAGATCGTCCTTGTTATTTGAGAAAGGTACTATTGAGACAATGGTGGTTTCAAGAAACAGTTATTACCAAAGGATGCTGGAGAAAGTTGACAATGTTTTCACTAAGTTGGAATTCAGATTTCGGGAGGTAATTTTTCAGAGGCCACTGTTCCAGTATCATCTTTCTTATATATCCTTTGCTTTCCTCTACAGCTGTAGGATCTATGATTTTTTTTTCTTTCTAGGATAACAAGGTATGTAGAATCTTGGCTAATTGCTTGTGCTGGTTTATCTATTAGAAACTAGAGATTCCTGTTAAAGAATCTCTAATTTGATATATCTGCTGAGAGATAACAACAACAACAACAACAAAAAAATAAAAAATAAAAAAAAATCCAGTGTAATCCCACAAGTGGGGTCTGGGGAAGGTGGTGTGTACGCAGACCTTAGCCCTATGTTGTGAAGGTAGAGAAGCTGTTTCCGATATATCTGCTGAGACATAATTAAGTAATTATTTTTGTGCTCTCTAACATCTTAAACTTTTCGATAAGCTGGTGACATACCTCAACATGGTATGAGAGCATGCAGAGGCCCTGGGTTTGAATTTCCCTGCCACCCATTTTAAAAAAGAATCCACGTGTTTGGCCCATGAAAAAGAATCAGGTCCGCACATGAGTGGGCGTGTTGAGGCATAATTAAGTAACTAAAAGTGTGTTCTCTCTAACAACATAAGCTTTTAGATGAGATGGTTACACACTTCAACAATATGCGATGTGGGAACACAAACTTTTACTTCTGCTTTTCACTTCTGACTTGAGGTAGTTCCTGCAGTTGTTCTGGTTTATCTCGTTATATATTGGAGATTCCACCGAGATTGAATCTCGTACTTAATTCTTTGCAGGGATGTTAAACATAGTCTGGATAGCTGCTTTACTTTTGGTAATGCCTAGATATCAGTAAAAAGTTTTAAGGAAGAGTTCTTTTGCCTCCTGAAAATACTGCACTAGTATTTTTGAAGTATGAATTCTGTTTAAATTAGGGAGAAGAATATGGATAAATTTAGATATTGAATTAAAAAAAAATGCCAACAGCAGGTGATGAATCTTGTCTAAAATAAATTAAGTTATTCTCTTCTTCACTAAGATGGTGATTATTTTAAAAGACGTGTTAGATATTCTAACCTGGTCCAACTTATTTAATTCTTTCTAAACCTGCCTGCTGCCTTGGAAAATGTGGACATCAGAGGCCTGACATGATGTGGAAGTTTTTTTTGTTTAAAAGTTCAGATTGTGGTCTTTTTCAATGATTCTGATATACCCATTGATACTGGGTTCTAGTTGAAGTATGAAATCTGTTTAAATTAGGGAGAAAATATGGATAAATTTAGATATTGAAGTTAAAAATGCCAACAGCTGGTGATAAATCTTGTCTAAAATTAATTAAAGTGTTTCTCTTCTCCACTACAAGATGGTGATTATTTTAAAAGATGTGTTAGATATTCTATCCTGGTCCAACTTATTTGATTCTTTCTAAACCTGCCTGTTGCCTAAAAAAATGTGGACATCAGAGGCCTGAATGATGTGGAAGTCTTTTTGTTTAAATGTTCAGATTGTGGTCTTTTTCAATGATATTGATATACCCATTGATACTGGGTTCTAGTTGTTCTTTCTACCATAAAGTGTTGCAAAGTTACATCTGATACGTGTTTCTAAGATACTTTTGGCATATCAATTATCAACAAAAAGTGCAAGCTAATAGTTTGGTATTAGTTTGCTATATTTTATTTGTTCATTGCTTGATGAGTTCTAGTTGAGATTCGTTCAGCAAGGTTGAATATAAAGAAAGAGATAGGTTCCGGTAAAAGAGAGACGTTGGACTCAACCTGTTCTGGAGTTTTATGTACACAACTTTCACTTCATGAAAAGGAACACTGGCTTTCTTGATGTCATTAAAATCTTGAGTTCTTGATCTTTACACCACTGTATGATCTCCTAACAGCAATGTGATGGAATTGGAAATTGTTTCCTTTTTTCTGGTCTTAAATCATTCTCTATAATGACATGTTTTTACTCTAGAATAGTAGGGAATAAGTTCTTTTTTGTTCCCCCTTATTTTGGATGATTTTTTGGGGGAGAGCAAGGGCAGTTAATATGAAAATTGACAAAAACTCTAGTTCCTTTCAGGTATAAATGAAAGGAAAAGAAACCTTCTTTGGCGAAATCTGTGATGCCAAAACTGACCTTTGATATTATGAACTTAAAAATGCATATAAATGTATTAAAGTCAAGGGAATGCCAATTTGTTCCTTTTTTCTTTAGATCAAACCCCAAACTAAAATTTGATGCTCCTTTCCATTCTTCTTGTCTTCTTTACTTTTTTTTTGTTCTGCATGGTTTCTTTTCCTCTCTCCCTTTCTTGTTTTTGATCTAAACCATCCATTGTTTCATATAGTTTACTTCCACCTGTAGATGATTTTCCAAGTCCTGCTACCATGGATGGAAAAAGTGAACATTAGAGAATTTAATTTGTCCAGTAAAAGGTCTTGACAATCCCTCAATAGAAGTGTCACTTCTCCTTTTTCTCATGTATCTTTTTCCAATGTAATAATATGTGAAAAATGAAATAAATGACAAAAAAAATTGTCTTTGCTGGTATGTAACCATGTCTTTATATGTAGTAATGTCCTTTACCTAGCATATTCTCTGTTTTTCATTTCTTCTCCCCTCTTTGTCTTTTAATATCAAGCAAATATATTAATTTTGATTACACATTCCAGAAGTTAACTTTTAAAGGTTCTATTCCTGCATATGTAGAGTACCTAATAAGAGTTTAATACATCTGCGTTGTTGAACAAAATTGTCGGATATTTTTATGATGCATCAAGTAATCTAGACAATTAAACCAGCTTTTTTCACAGTAATTCTAGCCTCTCACCTTTTATTTATTATAGAAGTAAAACAAGGCTAATCTTTTCTTTTAACTTTTTCATGTGTTCCATAAGATTTCTATTTCCCAAATATCTCTCCAGGGCATGCAACCTAGGTATGCAAACCATGCAAGGAACTTGACCTCTCCTGTTTTGTTTTCAACTAGTGACAACTTGGATGCATATTCAAATGATACCAGAGGTCAAACTTTGTAAGTGTACCCACTTTATACGCTTCATTGTGCATGTCCCCATGTGCTGGCTCATTTGATTGTGCATCCATCCAGGATTGTTATGTCTATAATCTAATTTGATTGTGCTTCCGTCCAGGGCTGTTTGTCTATAATCTATTTGTTTAAAAATTATTTATCTACTATCTATCCATCATTCTTTCTCTATAGTTCTTGGTTTCTGTCTATAGGGAGCAAAAATTGCATGATCTGAAGTTAGAAATGTAGAAAACAATGGGCAGCCCGGTGTACGAAGCATCCCGCGTTCATGCAAGGTCCGGGGAAGGGCCACATCCCAAGGATGTGTGATGTAGAAGATATAAATAAATCAAATATCCACTCTTCAATAATTTAAGCTTTTAGGTGAGACTGTTTACCAATTCAACATGGTATTGAAGTAAGCATAGGTCCTACTTTCGAGTCTCACCTCACTCTTTCATTAAAAAAAACTTCCACTTGCTTGGCCCATGAAAAAGAATCTCGGCTGCACATGAGGGAGTGTGTTGAAGACCTAAAATAAATAAATAAAAGTATTGTTTTGTTAACATTTTGAACTTTTAGATGAAATGGTTCACACGATTCAACAGGGTGTTGATTATATACAATCCCACATTGGTCAAAAGAGGTCTATAAAGGTTTGGGGCTGCTCCACCCATTGCTTTATGATTTTGCATTGGTGGATGTTCAAGTTCTTTGGCATGGTATTGAGCAACCTTTAGAAAGACCTTTCTAAGACACGTAAGTCTGCATTAAAGTGCACGTATTAACCCTAAAATTATATTGCATATAAAAGAGGGTGTTGAGTCATATAATGTCCACATCAGGTATATTAGGGGCATCTAAGGGTTTATAAAAGTGTTGGACTAGTCAATGCATTGCCCTAAGTTTTGGATTGGATACCCGGACTCTTTTACATTGAATGAGTTCACTGAACTCTTAGTTGAGTCGCTAGAGCTGCATAGCTGAGTATTTTATTTCCACTCATTCTTGAGGCCAATTTGATCATTTTGTCAGTAACTTTTTGATTTTTGTATAAGTCCTTTCCCTGTCACTAAAGAGTATCGTATCTGAATTTTAGGGCTCACGACACCATAGAAGCTGAGATTAGCACAGACGATGATTTTTCTGGTACCGAAGATCTCCTGGAGTCATCTGAAGCTTCATCAGAAGAAAACTCAGAGGAGCAAAGTGATTTTGACCTGCCGAGCAACACACCTGGCACTGATGTGGTGTTGGAGCCAGATTATTTATCTGCTTTAAGTTTTATTGATGATGGTCTTTTGCAGAAGCAGAAGTTTCCGCAAGATGAGATTTCATGCTCTGCAGAATATGTTTCGTGTAAATCATGTATAAGGATGGAAATATCTTCCACGGATGTTAGTAACAGTGAAAGAGCTGCATGTGACAGTTCTCTGCCCTATAGAAGTGGGGAACAAAGTACGCTGCTGGATCTTGATAACCGGATTTCTAATAGTTGCCACAATACTTGCTGGCTGTCTGATTGCTTTCCAGGAAATCTTCTGAATATTGATAGGAGGAGCTCTCAGAGTACATGGTTGCATGAAGTTGAGATTGAGCCGGAAGTAGGCAGTTGTAAATTTGGTGTCCAACTGCCTGACAACGTAGATTCTAGTGGTTCAGTTCTACCTCGAAATCCTTCATTGCCCGAGGCTTATGAAAAGGATCAGCATCCATATAGAGCTTGTACTTTTTTAAGTTCAACAAGTTTGCCATCATGGAAGCTGAAGCATAACTCCGACTTTCTAAGCATGAACCCAATTTTGGCTAGAAGTTCTCTTGTTAACCCAAAGAGGGAGCCTGAACAAATGTTCTCAAGAGATTCTAGGCAATCTTTTCCTTTTTTTAATTTCACATCTATAAGAGATCCTTGCGAGGTTTATATAGAAAAGTTTGCTGCCAATTCTAGAGATCAGTTAGGAGCTGGGGTTTCTGTTTTGACTGGTACAGCAGCTACTGCTGCTGTTCTTACTAGTCGTCAACATAACTTAAAAGATTACTCTGATAAGAACTTGGAGAAAAAGGCAGAGCTGTCTCATACTTGTTCCCCTGTAGGTTCCGAGGCTCACATTCAAAAAGTTTCATCATTGGAAAATGCTGCTGGTGGGAGTGGTTGGGAGAGACTGCTTGCTAATTCTAGCAAGATTGCCAGTACAACTGCTAGATATCCGAAGACTAGTTTGGTGACAGTCCTTGAGATGCCACTGGATCATATTATCAAAAAGTGCCTGTTGGAGGAGATTTTGCTTCAGTATCCTTATATATTCTAGATGCACGAAATGCAGCTTATCAACACTTGCAGTAAACTGTCTTTATTTTCCCTTGTTTGTTTATGCTTTACTACTGTGGGTGTCCAACTTTTCTCCCCATTCATGACGAGGAAAGAATTCCATTTACATTTTTCTGACTACTTAGCAAAGAAGATTAAAATCAAGATAGCCAAAAATTGGATGTGTGTCAAGATGCTGTCGGGCGCCGGCGGCTGACTCAAGTGCCCCCATTATGAAGTTAAATATTAACGAAATAGGTAGAGATGCTCATGCTTCTATTACCTCAAATGTTGATATTCCTGTGACCTGTAGTGCTAAAATATTATTCAATAAGGGATGATCATCTATGTAGTTGACATGATGCTTGATAAAATATGAGTATTCAAGGATTTTGAAGTTGGAATTATTTTAGACTCGCCTGATTTATGCAGTCTCAGATGATGGGTTTTCATGAAAAATCAGTTAGTTCAAGGTCAGTGAAGTATTCGAGTTGCAGGGCTGATGTTCCTTGGTGGGCCATTGTCCTCTAGAACAAATTTCCTTCTCCAAGTTTTGAATAGTGACCATTGTCTTGCCCACTTTGACATCTGTAAACTGTGTTCTAGATCCATTTTTCCTCGGCGAGCCATAGTTCTCTTATGTTTTCCTTTGAATCCTCAACTTTGATATTTTCTTCAGCTAGTTTATATCTGCGAAAGTGATATTTTCATTTCTTTCTCTAATTTTAAGAAGAGTGTTATTCGAAAAGAAATGATTGTTTTTTCATATAAAAAAAAGAAATGATTGTTTTGCTTAAACTTTTATTTGTTATTAATCACCACCATCACAATGTTCTTTAAGTAACCCTTACCTGTTGGGGAGCAGGCAAAGGCATTCTTATATGGCCTCTCATTTTTCCTTGACATTACTAGATACAAATACTTGAGCAAGTTGACTATACAATTACTTGATAAAGGTTTTAGTTTGCATGAACATTTGCTGGCTCTAAGGAGGTATCATTTTATGGAATTAGCAGATTGGGCACATCTGTTTGTCAGCTCTCTTCAGCATCATGTATGTTCTTCTCCCACTTTATAGTTTGTTTTTTAACTTTCCTTTTCTTGATTTGTGTAATTTTCTCGAAACAGAAATGGTACACCGTAGAGGCAGAAAAGAGAATATCAGAAATTCAGGGCATTCTTGAGTTGTCAGTTCAGAGATCTTCTTGTGAAGGGGACCCTTATAAGGATCGTTTGTTTGTCTATGTGAAAGGGAGTAGTATGACAAACATCTCAGTTTCTGGTAGAGGAACATTTTATGGTATGGCAAACATCTTGTGAAGGGGACCCTTACGTTTTACTTTTTCTCTGTCCATTTGTTTCTCTGCATCTGTATATATGGTGCATTGTCTTCTACAGGCGTTTTTGGTTCAGCTTTTAGAACTATATTACTCTTGGCAGGAATCCACTCCTTTGATTGTTTGGGTTTGGGTTATCGAGTAGATTGGCCACTCAGCATCATATTGTCTCCTGGCGCACTAAAAATGTACTCAGACATCTTTAGTTTTCTGATACAAGTCAAGCTTGCTGCTTTCTCTTTAAGTGATATATGGCGCTCATTAAAGGTACTCATTTGATATTGGTCCCATATTTTTGTAAATTCATCATGTATATATATGTAATGCGTGGATTTTATGTTTCTATGTCTTTGCTCAACCCTTCTCATTTTCTTTTCTTTGCGTATTCCCTGTCTCTGTATATTTACCATTTTAAGTAGTCTAAGAACTTGTATACACCTAGTTCGTTGAAGTTAAAGCAAGTTCCAGCCTGCTTGGGATTGCGCAAAGAAGAAGTTAGGGGTTACCTAACATTGAAATTACCCCTTGGTGTGACCATGGAAAGCCCTATTTCATTTCTTTTCATTAGCTTATACAGGTTGAGAACAGGGATATCCGTGTTTAATTTGTTGTCAAATGCCTTGTGAAGGCATTGATTTATGGAGCCTACAGGTTAGTAACTGAATCTATATTGGATGAAGGAATGAAGAGTGGGCTTATTTGTTTTGCGGTATAGTTGTTAAGTATTGGAAATCGTGGTTCAGTCAACGCAATCCAATACCATTTAATATGACTTATTTTTCCTTAGTTTTGTGAATTCTTTCTAGTGGCCGCCATCGCAGTTTAGTTAGTGTTTGAATGCATTTGATTTTGAAGGGCTTCAACTAAGGTGGAGAAGTATTTTAGGAAGTTTAATACTCATATATCTTACCCCTTCCCTATCATGCTGATAAAATGAAACAATAAACTGAGGGTGCATATTTACATTAAATCCTCCCAAACCAAACAACAACAACAACAACAACAACAACAACAACAACAACAACAACAACAACACCACAGTATAATCCCACTAGTGGGGTCTGGGGAGGGTAGTGTATACGCAGACCTTATCCCTACCCTGGGGTAGAGGGGCTGTTTCCGATAGACCCTCGGCTCCCTCCCTCCAAGAACTCCCCACCTTGCTCTTGGGGTGACTCGAACTCACAACCTCTTGATTGGAAGTGGAGGGTGCTTACCACTAGAGCAACCCACTCTTGTCCCTCCCAAAACCAAATAAAATAAAATAAAATGATTACACTGCACAGGATAATCACAGCTGTAGTTTTGACAGTTGGCTCAACCAAATTATTTTACATAAGTGATGCTTTAAGTCACCTAATAATTTTGATATGTTGTCCTTGTGAACAGGATCTCTCTCAATTGGACAAGAAGAATCAACATTTTGCGTTTGGCAATGCAGAACCAAAGCAATTGTCCATCTTAATTGAAACAAGGTCCTTTTTACGTTTTAATTATTGTTATCTTCTTTCTTTCTGGCTAACTTGATGTCATTTGACCCAAGGCATGTCTGGTAACTCTATGTGAAAGGAATAACCACAAGATATTATGCTTTTGTGTATGACACGTTTTTCTGCATGATGTTGCTTGCTCTTTTATGTGCTCAGATGTGTGAAAAGGTTTATTTATTAAGAAGTTGTGTGCAATCATATATGCAGAAAGATGCTAGCTTTTTCCGAGCTTGTTTAAAGTTGAGATATTTCAGATCTTGCTATAGAGTTTCTTTTGATAGAAACCTAAGAAGCACGCTGCCACACCGTGCATTTCTTGGTTATCTTGGAAACGCGAAGCAAAGCAACTGTGCGCTATGTCATGTTGCGCTTAAACACTTGTTGGGTCATAATCACATTGATGCTAAATGCAAATGAAATGTTTTAGAGTCACAATGCAAATGGACCTAAGACCTATATCTAGGACCTGAAGTAACTTGTTGAGCATTGTGGCGAGACAAAGTCTCAACCGAAGCAAATTGGTATGCCATGACGCTTGGAGGGTCTGCGACGTAGCTGTGAGTTTGAATATTATAGTTGTATATAAAATATATTTGTGATGTTGGAAGAAAGTAAATGTGTTTAAGTGTAAACCATCTATAAAAGCCTGTAGACATCACCATTCTTCAATCTCTTCTCTCATATCTAACATAAACTTATCCTATGATTTTCTACTCAATCATATATGCTATACGTGCTGAGTCGTTTCATTACTTTTGTGGTTAGAGTCTGCTACTTTCTGCTGTTTTCCTTACGTGGTTCTGAATTTCATTCCAGGCACCAGCTTAATCATTTTGTATCTACGCTGCAGCAATATGTACAACCACAACTATCTCATGTGTCCTGGTGCAGGTTCATGCATTCTCTTAAGGATAAGGTTTGGAGCACCTTCTGATCTGGGTTTTAATGAATTTCACCTTTACCCCCTTTATTTGCTGTTTGGTTTGTGATTATCAGCCTCTTACTAGTCTTAATCTTGTGCATTTCAGTAGCCTACAGTATGCTTTATATAATGTTGTTTTAGAATGGTTCCAAGCTCTTATATCAACAACAAAAACAACAACAACAATAACAACATACCCAGTATAATCCCACAAGTGGGGTCTGCAGAGGGTAGTGTGCACATAGACCTTACCCCTACCTTGGGGGTAGGTAGAGAGGCTATTTCCGATAGACCCTCTTATATCCTATGCTTTTAATGGCTAAGATGTGAACCTATTTGGATGAGTTAATAAGCTGTCGAAATTCAATAAATATTTGCTGTTGTCCTTTTGGTTATAAATGATCGGTATTTTTGTGGATGGGGGTGGGGAGGGACCAACACTTGATACTGTAATCTCGCTTATAGGATTTTGCTATTTGAGCCAGTTTCTTCAGCATGGTGTTGGTCAATAAAAAATATTAATTTTGAGATGTAGCATCGATGGATTCTTGAAGGCTTGGAGTTATCTTATGGTAGGTTAATTTAGCAATTAAATGAACATATTGACCAATTCCTGCAAACAGGTTTCCCTCACATGTTCTATGAATGGGTCACTCTCATTCAAAACTTACCAGACGGAAGTGTCAAATTGTTCTCATTTTTATTGTCAAGCAATGCAAACTATATTATCTTTTTCTACAGAAATACAGTTATGCATTTTATTTTCTTCATTGGTGTATTTTCTATTGTGTCTGGCTCAAACAGGTTTTTAAGCGCTTAATGTGTTAAGAGTAATTCCAAATTATCCAAAAAAGATTTAAAAAATATTTTTTAACTTTTAGTAATTAGATTCTTGTCATTCAGAAATTTTTCGAGATTTTACTCCATACTTATGATACCATTCTTTCGTCATCAGGTCAAAGATATGATGGATCTGCATTCTGCACATATGGCATACCTGGATGACTCCCTGCACATGTAAGATCAGCTCAC